GAGAGAGAGAGAGAGAGAGGGAGAGAGAGAGGGAGGAAGAGAGAAAGAGAGAGAGAGACAGAGAGAGAGACAGAGAGAGAGAGACAGAGAGAGAGAGAGAGATGGGGCTGGTAGGTTGTCGGACTGACCTGTTTTATTGAGCGACTGCTGTTGCCTGTCATATCCTTTGTGTGGAGGGGATTAGCTATAATTGCCGTGACACCTTTTCGTAGGTTAGTTTTTTAGGACGGAAAAACCACTGCTCTCTCTCTCTCTCTCTCTCTCTCTCTCTCTTTCTTTCTCTCTTTATCTATCTATCTATCTATCTATTTATCTATCTTTCTATCTCCCCCCTCTCTCTCTCTCTCTTTCTCTCTCTTCCTCACACACACACAGAGACACACGCACACACGCGCGCACACGCGCGCGCACTTCTCTATAAAATAAGAACTCTACGAAGACCGATTTGTTTTCTCTCCATCTTTCCTCTATGTCTGTCTTTCTCTGTCTACCATCCGCTGCGCCTGTTTGTCTCTTGTTTTTCAAGCATAAATTGATAACCTTTATTGCGTTCGCATAGTTCGCTTTAACCTAACTCAAACTTTCTACAAACACACTTACAAGCATGCTTATTCAGAAACGTTTGTGGTAGATATCGGAAATGGCCTTGGGGCTCCGCGCGCTCATTACCGGCTATCTGATTGATTCTACTGACGTCACAGCTTTCGAATGTTCGACTGGGCCAGGGTGGTACTGTTAGTGACCACCGCTGTGTGTGTGTGTGTGTGTGTGTGTGTGTGTGTGTGTGTGTGTCTGTGTGTGTGTGTGATCGATACCTATAATGGGAAGCCAAGCTGATGGAGCGGGAGAACGAGCTGGTATCGGCGATTGGCCATCTATACGTTTGTACGGGGCAAAGTTCACGAATGTCAAGAGGTGGTTTGAAAGGGGAAAGGGGGACTGGGGATGAGGAGCGGAGAGAGAGAGAGAAAGGCGTGAGAGAGATCGGGAGATGGAAAGAGAGATGAGGAGAGAGATAGGGAGAATGAGAGAGTGAGAGAAAATAGTGGCACAGATAGTATTTCAAGAGGACGGGGGGCTGTGCATAATATAGCACCCTGAAAGAGTTAATTGTATGACTGTCTTTAAAACCTCCTACACCTCTCTTTCTCCCGCTCCCATTCCTCTCTTTCTCTCTCTCTCT